ATAGGAAAGTACATGTTACATACCAAAAAAGTTTGAAAAATTTTCATAAAATCATAAAATGCTTTTTGCATTACATAAAGATAAAACTAATATACCATATATCTTACAAATAACTAACAATAAGATAGAAATAAGCTATTAATATGAAAGATTTTTTAAAATAAAAAAAAAAACTTCCTGCTAAGGTAAGAGTAGTTATACATCATCAAGGCGATTAGACAATAATAATTACCCAAAAGGTACATTGAATTTACTATACATGTATAAGTAATAATAAAATTAAAAAAAAATTTTAAACTTTTTACTAAAAACAAACAAAGCGAAAAAAAAAATTTATTTAATGAGTAACAATTTTTGGCTTAAGGTCTGCTATAAGCATTGGTTTTAAATTACAGAGTGCAACACATGTTCATAAAATGTCATCTGCATGTTGTAACATGCTGATTAAGAGACTTCCATTTACAGTTAATAGCTTGCTCTACATGTATTCTTAAACTTGCAACATGTTTAGTTTTTTGAGCTTTTTTGGTGGTTAATTGACTTTTAAAGCAGGCACCAGGTTGCACAACCAAAGTACAAAAATTTAAAATCCAATCTTATTTTATTTGAAAACCTCGATCAGCCATAACTTCGTCATCTCACTCTAGTAGATCATACAAACCACTTGTTAAAAACTTGGCACTTGCTCTTCCCCCATAACATGAAGAAAGAAATGTAATATACCCAGTTGGACACCTATCAAGAACTTAAATGTATTATGATGTTTATAGTCTGACTAGGTAGTTGATTGTTTATCAACATTCTATAAACACTTCTGCACAATCAAGAATTACTCTGCATTTTTGATAACCAGGTTTCACAAAAACAGGTGGCAGATTGTTATGAATAGATTCTCTTGGAAGCCATACAACTAATGCTTTTCCTAAAACTTAATTTAACATTTCAATTCAAGTTGTGAATGTACGTGAACACAATGCTGGGGCCAAAACGATCTGCTAAGTCTTGATTTAGAAGTCCTCATCTTAATCGCATTAAAACAAGTAAAAACTCATCTCTTTGTTTTTTTTTGATTTTTTCATTAAATGTTTTTTCTTATTTTTAGAATTAGTAAACCTTTCAGGACCAGACCAATAAACTAAATTTGGTTAAAATGGTTTGATTAGTAAAAATAAACTCTCAAACAAATTGTCAATAAACCAGTATAAAAGTTCATTTTAACATCAGTTTTAATTTTCCTCCATGTAAATACTGAACCTTTAACACTATCAAATAACTTTTGGCGCTTTAATTTTTGACAAGTTAACGTTAACATGTTTACTTTACTGATTAGTGATTCAATTAAGTTACTCTTGTCAACACATACTTTGCAAATTTTATTTGATTGTATTGAACAATACGAGTGATCAGATACTGATACATTTGCTTTAGGTAAATTATTTTCTTTATCTAAATCTGTTGAAATATCATTAAAATGACTTGTTCAGTAGTAACTGCAGTTTGGTCAAGTTTCTGCTTTTTTAATGGTATAGAGTGTTTGATTAAGTTTCTTCTAGATTTTTTAGCTTCTATTTCATATCCTTGACATAAAGTAGGCGTAGGGTTTGCAGTTGAAAAATTCCATCAACAAAGTGTATGGAGCATACCCTATTGGCTCCCATAATGTTTTATTTATAGATTCTCTTCTTAAAGCTTTAATCCATAACTGTCTTTATTTTTTTTCTTTACTGCTGGAAATTTATATAATAAAAACGGCCTTTCACATAAAGAACATTTCTCTCTGTTTAAATTTTGTTCATATTCATTGCATACTTCTTTTTTCCATTTATTCAGTCTATATGTACTATTTGTACAACTTATTAGGGCGCAATTAACTTTGAGCATCTTTAATATAAAAATTTTGTTTTTATAGTCTACTTTATAATTGATTAAACTTTTTATTTGTAAGCTTCTGATAGATGTTTATACTTCGTTTTCTCAAGTTAAATTAGCTGATTTAAATTGCTGTCTTAAATTCCCAATCTTAAACACTCCTCTCAAAAATTTGAGATAACCTCTTTTAGCTGACAGAGAAACAAGATGTGGGGTATGTGGGGTTTGAAAGCCTTTGACTCTGTGATCACAAAAATATAAAAGTTGAAATCAAAACATTATATCCAAGAAAATAATTCAACATTTAAATGTATTACTATAAACAGCAATAGAGTAAATGACAACTTTTGACATTTCTACAGCATATATAATTATATTGGTGTCCTTTTGTATGTGACGATCAAGGCACACTCACTATAAATTCCCATTTTTTAAATAAATTTTTCGGGAAAATGCACGATTTATTTGTTTACAAAAAATTCATGATTAGCATAATTTTCAACTGCCGCAATAAAAATGCCCACTTTTGCATAATCACATGAAGAAAACCGAAAAACTGTCTGTTTTCTTTGCATGCACAAGGCAAAACGAGAGGTAACACCTTTAATAATTGAAAAAGTGAAAGCAGTTCTCTAAAGAGATGTTGATTTTCAAGACTCAAGAGTTCCAAAAGGAATTTGTGAAGGATGCCGTTCAGCAATGAGGAGAAAAGATGAAGACAAAAAAGTAAGCATACCACTGCTATTCAAATGTCCTGCAGTTCTTGGCAAAGGTATGTCCCATCCTTGCCATGAATACACATTTCGGGAAAACATGTGGTTGCTTGCAGCTAAAGATAGCAAAGTTTCTGACCAAATAGCTGCTACTGTTATCTGTTAAAAAGAGGCATCACCACATGGAACAATTTGCCTAAATCAAGCTCAAAGTGGACGACCGTTGGCATTGACACCAGGTAGATTTTTGCTATGCTCATAAATTTATTTTTAAGCCTAAACACGATGTACTTAATTATAAATTTATAATCTGACAGGTTCTTCAAGCTTTCGGCGGTTGTTTGAGGCCCCTACAAGAGTGACAGCAAAATAGCTTGCTCAAATTCAGATCAATACAGGAATGTCCAACAATGGCATAAGAAAGCTAGCATCAACTCTTAATCAAGTATCACAGGTTAAAGTTACTGAACCATACATTGACTCTAAGTTTCTTGAAATAGGAACCAATCTTGCAAGTTTTTTCACATATTCAAAACTAGAAGTCATGCTAGAGAAAGGGTCAAAAGTCGAAATGGCAACAGTTATTCACTGTAAAGATTTTTCTGAACTGCTGGAGCACATCCTTTTAGAAAGAAAAATATTTTTTGATCACATTTTCAAGCTTGAAATAGATGGGGGAGCAGGATTTCTAAAATTTTCTCTTGGGGTTGTAGAAACATTACAGCACTGCAAAGTTCGTTCTCCACCAAGCAAACGACTCCTGACAGTAAAGAGCTCCAAAGATAGTGGTTGCAATCAGCAACTTATTGTTGCTGTCTCTGAAGGAATGTCTGAAAACTATTCTAACCTCAAGAATGTTTTCAAAGCTGACTCAAAGAATTTTGTGGTATCTTGTGACTTGAAATTTGTCAATATTCTATGTGGTCTTCTATCTAACAAAATGGTGCACAGCTCCTTCAACTAACCTTGCTGAATGTGGAGACCTACGAACTTTTGGTTCCCTTAAAGCCTCTTTTCAAGCATTTGCTTCTGCTGGCAGTGATGTAAAAAATGCCAAGAAATATGGGAATGTCATCCATAAACCTATTCTTCATGCAGATGGCACTAGTCTGGTTTTGGAAATTATCCCTCCCATGGAGCTTCATCTTCTGCTTGGAGTTGTTAACCACCTCTACAAAATTTTCAAAACAGTCTGGCCTCCAACTGATGAGTGGGCAATTACTCTTCATATTAATCTTCAGCCTTACCATGGAGGTAATTTCATTGGCAATGATTGCCGCAAGCTTCTCAAAAATGTTGATCTTCTTCAACAGTTAGCCGAAGAGAAGGCAACAGTTCATATTTTTCCACTTATTGATGCTCTGAGAAAGTTTGATGCTGTGGTTATTGCCTGCTTTCGAAACGAACTGCAGCATGACTATCCACAAAATATTGAACTTTTCCAGCAATCGTTCTTGGCACTACCAGCAAGAAGTGTAACTCCAAAAGTTCATGCTGTGTTTTTTCACATCAAGGATTTCATCTCAAGAAAAAACACTTCTTTGGGTATTTACAGTGAGCAAACCACTGAAACTGTGCACCATTAATTTCAAACTCATTGGCAAAGGTACAAGTGTCAAAAGACACAGCCAGAATATGAGTCAACTTCAAAAGTGTGTGACTTATTTTAACATCAAGCACTTGTAAAAGATTCTGTAAACGTAATTTTTATTCAGAATGTATATTTATATTAAGTCTTGACTGTTGCTTTTAAAAGAATTTTATGTTTATATGTGCTGTAGAAATGTCAAAAATTGGAATGCCGTCATTTACACTATTGATGTTGATAGTAATAAAATTAAATGTTGAATTATTTTCTTGGATATATTGTTTTGATTTTAACTTTTACATTTTTGTGATCACAGAGTCAAGGGCTTTCAAGCCCCACATCCTGTTTCTCTGGGTCAGCTAAAAGAGGTTATCTCGAATTTTTAAGAGGAGTGTAAAGCTTTTGTATAAATTAGCCAGTGATCACAATTGTACTTAAATTAGCCAGTGTTCACAATTTTATTGAACTAAACACCATAATAAGAACTGAATATAAACAACAAATGAAATATTTTTTTTTTAATTTTTTATAATTGAAAGAAAGAACTGACCTAACGTTTTTGAGTCTAATTTATCATAGTATTTTATCACTCTGTACCAATAAAATAAGTATATATTATACTGCAGATTGAAGGCAAGCTTTTTTAAAAATTTATTATATATTGATAATTGATATATTGATATTGATAATTGATTTATTGTTAATGATTTTTAATTAATTATAAATTTATTTTTGATACCATTTATCTATAATAAACACGTTCACTTTGTATTTATGAACAATTAGTATTTAAAATATTATTTAATAATTATTCATTTTAAATATTCTAGGAATCACGCGAGCTGCCTGCTAAAAGACCACAAGCAGATTACTTTTTGTGATGTTTTTGTAAATTAGAATTTCGTCAAAGTTTTAAAAATAGAGAATATGCGGTGCAAAACGCGCATTGTTAATAAAATATTTTTATTTCTATTACATTTTTTTTTATTCTTACCTGAAAACAAGAAAAGCGGTTAGTTGAAACGAACATATTCGCAACTAGACGCTTATCTTTTCATAGAATTGTTATTTATTGTACGAGTTATATTATAAAAAGTAACAAATATAATGCGAATTTTTGCATAATTTCTTTTACAAGAGTAATATTAATCTTTTTTTTTTTTTTCTTTTTTTTTTTTGTCATTAATTCGTATTGCACAACATACGTTTATATATGTATACATACGTTTATATATACAGTTCTCGGAGTGGAGAGACATGTGACGAGACGATTTTCAGTAATTTTAAAAAGAGCTATCCTATTAAACCATCGTTATGTTAAGAGAGATGTCTAATCGTGGCGGGATGGATTATACTTAGATGAACAAAAGTGGCGTTATGGCGTTCCGACACATTTTAAACAATACGTGCACATACACACACACACACACACACATATATATATATATATATATTAAACAATTTAGATAAATTTAACGAAGGCTGCTTTATAAAGCAGTCTTCGGGAGATTCATAGTATTTATATATGAATTTATATAGATTAGAAATATTTTTCTAATATTTGATGTACAGTATAACAGAACAGATATTCTACACCCTCGTTTGGAACTAAAAAAGATCTTTGAAGATATATAGAGAGAGACAGATATTAGCTGGGTTTTTTGGGAGATTCGTCTGCTTTGTTTAATTTATACACATACGTTGATAATTCCTTGCCGTTGATTGTTGTTTGTTTTCTGAAAGTGGCAGGGCCGACGACACGGGTTTTGAAGTGGGGGGCACAATCATCAATTTGTGAAACAAGTCCTCTATATCAAGATTTTTCTTTAAAAAAGAAAAAGGTCTTCTACAAAAAAAGTGGGGGAAACATCCCCCTCCCCCCGGTGTCGTCGGCCCTGCAGTGGTACTATTAATCTTAAATTTAAGAAATATCAATTAATTTAAGATGGAATCGGAAATGATACCATAATGCTTTATTTTTATGTCAGCCTTATACTACGACTTATCCTTTTATAAACGCCAAACTTCATAGCTTTCTAAATGCTTGCTACTTTTTCTAAAGGCCTGTTACTAAATTTTAAATAGCTGACACTGAATGTCAGCTACTTAAAATTTAGATAGTACATGCATATTTGGGAGCAGTGTTAAGTCTGTAGCAAGTGCTTTACCTTAATAGCTGGTACTGAAAACATTTAATGAAATCCTAAATTGATTCCAGACACCTATATATAATATGCTCTAAATTATATTATTGACAATAATTTTTTTGTTGTTGTTATGTTTTTTTTCTAGGGGGAGGGGGGTTGAGGAAATTCCTAGTTAGTGCAGTAATTTATTAAGGTCTTGTAATTATACCAGATCCAGATGATAAATAGTTTATTAACATTATCCTTGTTTTTATAACTTTATAGAAAAACAATTTTTTTTTTCTATAAAGTAGTCGGTTAAATGCGAACCGGTAAAATGCGACCTTTTTTGCAAACCAAGACATATTAGTGACCCCAACATTTATGATATTTAAAAAACGTTTGCTCATCAATTTTTTAAATTAAATATAATGGTATTTGATATATTTTATTTAAATTAGGCTGGGTTATATTATTAAGAATAAGATGTTTGTCAAATAACATATTTTTTGGAGGAGCCACCCTTACGCAAAAAATTTTCGTTAGCAATCATATATTTATAAAACTGTGCACAGGTAAGGTTCTTTAAATTATACTTTGTCAGAACGATGTCTTTTACAGAGTCAACTAAAAGTCTGTTCCTTTCCTTTGTCTATTGAGAATTAATCAACTCTTTCAACATTTTTGTTGTGTCGTTGTGTGGGATGCCGAAAAATACTTCACAAATTTTAAGTATCTCTGAGAAGCAACTCGCATTTGGACAAATTTAAAAAATAAAACCTACTGTTGATTCAAGGGTATTTCAAAAACCTGCTCATTTTTGCCATGCACAAATTATTTTATATTACATTATATCAAACAATTGTACATCATCCAAAATAATACCTTTTTTTTTTAGGTACAAAATGCATACCAAAAAATCATTAAATAAGCTGTCTTTTGCTTTATTTATAAACATTCAATCAAAGTAGTGAAATTCATTATAAAGGCGAGTTCCACTCATCCGTTTTTTCACGGGAACGGGAAAAATAATCACGTATGCGTAGTATAATTTTTGATATGTCTAAAGAAAAACTACGCATGCTCACGTGATTATTTTTCCCTTCCCTATCCCGTTCCCGTGAAAAAACGGATGAGTGGAAACTCACCTTTAGGTTTCAATCACTTTTCTAAATAAAGATTGCATGCTTCTTATACAAGCTTAACTTCTGCCACAAAATAGTTATAATCTTCTTCTCTGTCACTTTCTTTAAATTTTTTAAATAAATCTCTGACTTTGAGAGATGGAAATGTTTAATTTAACCGGCCTTTTAAAACTGCTAAGGTAAAGTGAAGAAAGCTCATAACTTCTAAAATTGACGTTTCTTCCCTTTCAACTGCTGCAATATTTACTTGAAAGACAGATATCAAGGAATGCAAAAACCAAAGATAACTGAAAATTCATTCTCAAAAAATATTTTTATTGTAACAGGTGGTTGATCTAAAAAAGAAAATATGTTTTAAACCATCAAATAAACTAAACAATTTTTCAATAGCAGGAAACTTAAACAGTTTTAGAGTGGTAGAGTAGTTGATGATAACTATTATCAAAATAGTCGCACAAATCTTTTAATGATGGAAAGACCGAAACATGATGTGCTATCTAATGATTTCACCAGTTGATCAACAATGTGGGGGCCAATTATCTGGCTTATGATTGCCTCAGGTTTTGTTTTAGAACATCGATATTTTTTGTAATTTTCGAATCCTCAAATAACTTTCAACTAACTGATTTGCATTTTCTCTTTGTACTACCCCATCCCATTTTGACTCTCATGAACAAATTTTAATACGCGGAGTGTCGTAAAGTATTCCCAAGGTATTGTTTTTTTAGTAAAATTTTTTTGTTTTTTATTTTAGATGACGCGCCACTCTTTTAAAGTTTAACATTTTTGCATTTTTTGAGTTTTTACTGGCATTTTCAAACAATCGGCGCTAATAGAAGTTTCCAAATTATTTATTATATAATAATGTCATTACAAATAGCGAAAGGTTTTTTTTTTATCTATACCGATTGTGCGCATTTTTATTACTATTATTTTTGTTAACTTGTGGTATTTTAAAAACGCACAAATTCGGGTACTAGGTAAAATGCGAACTGCGAACTGGTAAAATGCGAACTTTTTTGCAAACCATCGCGCTATTGGTTGTTAATGATGTAATGTTTTATTTCCGTTAAATAGTTCATTTAGCGGTATATTTTAAAGACTTTTAAGCGAAATAATTATTTGATAGACTGCCTGCCCAAAGCAAACCCTAGGTCGATTTAGCAGCACTCCGTTGCGAGTCAGGCTATAAGATAATCTATGTAGCAGCACTCCGTTACGAGTCAGGCTTTAAGATAGTTGATGTAGCAACACACTGCGCAAGTTTTACAGTTAAAAAATAATTTTTTTTTTTAAAAATAAAGCTTTAAAATAGATAATTAAGAATTGGAGTGTTTTTTTTATCATAACAATTATGGTCTTTAAAATTTAATGTTTTGGTTCGCAAAAAAGTTCGCATTTTACCGGTTCGCAGTTCGCAGTTCGCATTTTACCGATAACCAAAAATTCGTTATGAAATTAAAAAAACGTGATTTTTAAACACGATAGCGTTGAGGCCCAATAAACAGCGATTAGAAATTTGTTAAATGTTTTTATCTCATACAGTTCACCCACTTAAAAAACTGGCTATACTTTATTCATGTTAACATTCTGCCATTATGTCGGAAAGCTTCAACTTTAAAACTGGAAATAAACTATTTATATCATAGAATCATAAAAGGTTAAAAAGTAGTAGGTAAAGATATAAATGTTTTACTTTAAACATATTTTTTTGCAAAAACAAAATGAATAAGTTTCTAATTTTAAAATTATTTACATATAGACTTTTGAATAGAGCAGAGTTTATTGTAAACTTGCGGAAAAGAATCAGGCCATTAGTTGAAAATTAACTAAAATAGAGCTGTTTCACGCGCCTTGAATTTCACAAAACTCAATTTTCATGAAATATAAGGCGTGTCTTCTTCAAGGAATCGCGGTTTTCGGCCTGCAACTTTTTTGGTTCTGCAATTTTCAAAACAAAACTTAATTTCATAAGTTTTGATATTTTAATTTTATTATTTAATAATAATTTATTTCATAAAGTAAAATAAGAAATTAACTCTAATGTAAAAGAAACAAACTCTAAAATAATAAATTAACTCTAATGTAAAAAGAAATTAACTCTAAGCCAATTATTTTTTTCTAATGACAGACATCTTAAAATGTGTAAAAATATAATAAAAATGAAATCAATAGAATTACCACTTTGATTTTATCTTGTCAAAAATAAATGTAATAAGTATTTAGCATTTTAAACTAGGGCCCTGCGAATCACCTTTTTTGGTATCGAATTGAATCACGAATCAAAGTAGGCATTGATTCGCAAATAGAATCAAACCTCAAATCAAATCAGCATTTTAAGGATATCTATGTTTTAGATTTACTCAAAATGCTGATTGAACTCATGATTCAATTCGATATGCGAGTCCAGGCCTGTTTCGAATCGTGATTCGATTCGAAAATAAAAAAGGTAAATCACAAGGGCCTATTTTAAATCTCATTTATCTGCATTGCATTATTTGTAATTTACACTTTTTTGAGCCTGCTGCAGAGGTGAAATTCAAATCATGGTAAAACCTTAGAGGTGTTTGGTGCTGGCGGTAGCATCTTTTGACCGAAATCACAATATAAAATTGGTAAAAAGTTCTGTATTCAAAAATAAAGGGAGGTCCGAAAAGATGTAAAAACGGATAGAATCAAAGCTGAAATCCTTCTGAAAGCAGATTTTGTTGACAAAGACCAGCCACTAGGTCTTGAGTAGTATATTTTACCAGACTAGTTGTTAATTTTTGATATTCTAAGTCAGAGTTTGAAAAAAAATGCCTACGGATTCCTTCAGACTCTTTGGGTACAATGAATTCCAAAACTTTTAAAATCTTTCAAAGTTGCAAACAACTTATCTGAACTCACAGAAAAATCATAAATCTATTAAGCATAGTTTAAAAAAATTGTTATTATTATAATTTTTGTTATTTAGGTGCTCTAAGAAGTCCTATCGGTCTTGTCACAAAGCACCGCGGAAGTGCTTGTAACCAGGAAGTTCACGCCTCCTTCCTTACTGTGACACGAAAATATGTCCAGAGCTCTTTTAGAACCTGGATCTCCTGCTTATAAAGCAAGCGCTCTATCCACAAAATTGAATGCTCTAACTACCAAAATTCAATTTTGCTGTGCTTGCACTGTAAGCACAGCAATTTGAAGTAGCTTCTGAAGCTTCTCCAACCTCATCGCACGTTCTTCCTTTACTTGAATAAATTTTACTGTAACTTACAGTAAAATTTATACAAGAAAATGAAGAACGTGTGATGATGTTAGAGAAGCTTCAGAAGCTACTTCAAATAAAGAGTTCTTGTAAAAAAAAAATATTAAAAAAAGAAGAAAGGTGGATTCAAGAAGCTACCTACTGCGACTGCTTCCTCGTTTTCTCGTTATTGAATGGTTCTAATAAATTGAATTTAAATCCGATATCTAACTGCAAACTCTGAACCTTATATTTAAAAATTGTTTTTTTAAATATTTCTTGAGATATTTGTCTTAAGCTGAAAATTTAGATGTATAAATATTTATTGCACATTTGCAGCGTTTAAACGCTGAATTCTGAAGCAAATTTGCTTCAGAAACAAAAGATCTGTGGCAGTGACGGATGCAGCATTTTTTATAAAATAATTTTTTTGTTATTCTTGACTAAGTTTATATTTATTGATAAATTTTAAGTATTGTTTTACAATCTCTAAGCGTTCAAAAATTATGACAATATAAAATTTGTAACCCTCTCAAATTGAGGGGGGTTTAAAATTTATATGGTTATCATTTAAGAACTCTGAGAGATATTACGATGAAACTTAAAATTTATCAATGAATATAAACAAAGTTAAGAATTTCAAAAAAAATATTTTACTAACTTGTTGCTCTCACGTTTGGGGCAGAGGGGATAAAATTTTAGACATTTAGTTTCCAGCCTCCAATCATCGCAATATTTTGCAAAGCATCATTTTTTTTTTTTTTAATTTTACATTTGTTGGTCGTATTACAACTATATATTGCCAAAAAAAAAATAATGATAATAATAATAAACTTTCACAAATATAAAATAAGGTATCTGAAAGAAGATCAAAGGATCTTGTTATCAGAACCTTAAATAAGTTCAAACAAGCATTAACAGTTTCAAATTTTTAAAAATTTCGTATATATATAATCCAAATATATATTATATAATCCAAAGAGAGATCACGCAGATCTACTCACCAATATTTTATATAAATGTATAGGTTAAGTAAAGAATATAAAATGAACAAAATAAGTAAGAATAAACTTTTTACAAATGTAAATAAGAAAAGACAAAGTTATTAATTCATATTATTAATAATAACATAATACGTCATCTAATGAAAAAATTAGGGTTTTTAATTTACTTAAAAAAAACCGAAAAGTAATGAGTAGTTTGAAGTCAAAATTGGGCAAAACAATTTTATTCCAAAGGTGTGGTGCCCGATAGGCAATACAAAATTGATTAAAGTTCGTTCGACAGAAAGGTTTATTTAAAAAATCAGTATTTCTCAAATTGTATTTGTTGATGGGTTTCGGAGTGAAAATATCTTTAAAGACAGATTGAGACAAGCCATTTTTCCACATGTATACAAAGTATAAAACATTATATATATTTATTATATACAAAGCATAAAACATTATATGTATTATACATAAAACATTATATATATCATTATTTGACATATGTATGAACATACAAATGCTTTGAGTTTGCCCTATGTCTGTTAGCTATCTCAAACACCAAAAAATGCTGAATCCTTCACTGATCTATGGTTCGATGCCTACACTAGGCTTTTTTTTGACAAGCGTAAACTTCCAAGTTAAATGCTCTTCGGCTTTGTGATGCGACTATTAGGTCTTTTTGCAGCACCTAAAATAACCACAGAAAAATTTGTATATGCATTTTTGAATCACATTGATACGTTTTGATCTAGTTTAGCTTATAACAAAAGACCGAAAACCATTTACCCTATCATTCAAAGAAACCAATTTTGATTTGGGTTTGTTTGATCCAAGACTCCAAAAAACATTATTTAAAAAAAAACAACATCATTTGATAACAAAATGAGGCGAAAATTGTAAAGTGTATGGCTGGAAAAAAGCCTAAAGATCAACAAAAAATCACTTTACTGTAGCCAAAGTATTTATTTATCTACCGTAATTAGTGTAAGATAGGCACAACATATTTCTTAAGTTAATAAGCACAGTGTTTTTTTTTTGGTACAGGAACACATGAAGAAAACATCGTTGAACAATTTAACTGGATTTTACATAAGAATTTATTTACGTCAATGCTTGGAATTTGCCCTAAATTTAGTGAAAAATCACAAAAAGCGTAACTTCGAACGCGAATACTTCTATTAAGAAAAAATTTTTTTTTTTTTTCGTAGAAATATTTATAAGAAATTATTTTTCAAAATTCGAATTTTTTCGTTGTTATCAACTTTCTGACCAGATTTAATGAAAACCAGATGCATTTTGAGGCCATTAGAAAAATCCAGGCCAAACTTCATAACTGAAGCTGGATGTTTAGTCTTGAATAAATATTTTATACACTCTGAGACTGCTTGGACTGGCTGATGCTCAATAAAGCCATTGGTTCTGTTTTTTGACTCAACGGTAAGTAATTTCTCATTTGACAAGAGAGTAGTCGTTGGTCTTTTTTTTTATGAGACTCAAAAGTTTCTTTAATCATCAACTTTATTTCTTTGACACATGGGGAAACCAGGTTATTATTTATCATTTATTATCTTTGCCTTTATTCTAGCGATTGACTTTGCCTTAAGATTTTTTTTGGCCACATTTCTGATGACTCACCGAGAGCTCTTGATGACGAGGCTCAATTACCGAGAGCTCTTCAGCCATTTTCCTCATTGATCAATAAGGTCAATAATTAATTTAATTTTACTACTCTTTTTAACTTTTCAGCTTTATTCTTTAAAGTTTTATGCGTCGACAATGTGCGTAAAAATACCATTAGAACAAACCATACACAATAATGTGCGTAAAAATAACGGAACATTTGTTTTGAAATAACCAAAAAAGGAGATTTGCAGTCGCATGTGGTATACAAAGCACGAGTTTCGTAAACAACTTGTATTTCAATATTTTCTCTTGTTACATAAATAAATTTAAGATTTATATTTAGAGGGCCAAGAACGTTGATCCTGGACTTAAACTTTAATCAATTAACCATTTTGAACCTTTTAAAAATCAAAAACTCTGTGTTACTAGAGTTGACGGCAAGCAATTTAAAACGGCCAATTTTTCAAAACTTGACGGTTATTTGATATGCAATAAAAAAAAGCACGTTTAATATAAAAAAAATCAACATACTAATAATATCTATAATAAGGTAAAACCAACATGTCAAGATTAATCGTTAAAAATCTTCCTAAAGATGTTAAAAAAGAAAGTGTTAAGGAATTATTTGAGAGTCAAGGTGGTGAAATAACTGATCTAAAACTATGTTTTACAAAAGAGGGAATATTTAGAAAATTTGCTTTTGTTGGATACAAAACAGATACAGAAGCATTAGCTGCTCTGAAATTTTTAAACAATACTTTTATGGGTACGAGTAAAATTCATTTGGAGATATGCAAAGATTTAGGCGATCCATCAGTTCCTCGTCCTTGGAGTAAGTATTCTAAAGGCAGCTCTTCTTTTTCTAGAAAAGCACATGAAATTGAAGAAAGAAAAAATTATATAAAAGAACTACAATTTGGAAAAAGTAATGATTCAAAAATAAAAAAAGAATTAAAAGAAAAATCAAAAAATGAATTTAAGGATTTGGAAAATAATAGTGAGTTTGAAGACTTTGTAGGAGTACATTTAAACAAAGGCATAAAACAGTCCTGGACAAACGACAGTATAAATTATATTAAAACCAAAACTGAAAAGATTTCAAAAAGAAAGAAAGAAAAGGTTTTTTTATTTTTTTATTTAATATAATATAAATTTGAAAGGTTTAGTTTTTATTTATTTTCATCTAAATCAAATGACAATTGACATAAGACAAGTTATTTTAATATTTTAGTAAATTATTAATATAAAACATTAATGTAATGATATAAAACATGAACATAACATTTAAAAATCAAATTATTTAATGCCTGCTATATAATTCAGTGAGCTAGCCAGTATAGATTGTTGAAAAATCAATATTGCTTAAATGTTTTTAAGTTATTTGTTATTGAAATCCAAAAAACGTTTTAGTTCTTAAAAAAATTATTTCAAAAGTGTAACTGCTTCATAAAATATACTAGTTTTAAAGTTACAATTTTGTTGCAAAAGATAGGTGTACATAAAAAAAATGCATGAAAGTTGTTTTTAATTATGTATATTAATAGTCGGAAATAATCTGGAAAGAAAGAAAGTTTATCAGGATTCAGTATCTCAATAATCTTTCTGACATTGTTATAATTTTCTGAAATATTTGCCACAGTTTTCTAAAATTAAACTCTATGAACACCATCATCCTAATATTGGTTTTTGAAAACATGTCTCTCTTTTATCATTATGAAAGACACATGTCTTTATAAAACTTTCTCCTGAACCCATTTAACCTTTTTCCTCAGGCTTGCTGCAATAGGTTTTTTTTTTAATTGGCACATACTTACTTAAGTATGTGTTATCATTTAATTTAGGGCAGGTATGTAATTTAAGCACCCTCTTTAGTAAGTCCATAAAAAAGTATTTATGAAACAAATGTTTTCAAAAACCATACCCTAACTAATCACTAACTCTGACCCTTAGGATTAGGTTCAGGGTTTGATTTAAGATTTGGTTAGGGTATGGCTTTCAATAAAATAAACTTTATTGTTGGGTTCAGAGTAATAGTAAAGTTTTCAATAAATGTTATGCGTAAAATGTGACTTGTTTTTTAAAAACTTATTAAAGGGGTGTGCTTGAAATACACAGCCTTCCAATTTAGAATCAATCTCAATATATATATATATATATATATATATATATATATATATATATATATATATATATATATATATATATATATATATATATATATATATATATATATGTATATATATATATGTATATATATATATATATGTATATATATATATATATATATATATATATATATGTATATATATATATATATATATATATATATATATATATATATATATATATATATTGAGATATATATTCATTAGGTTTGCATTTGTCATTAAGTTGATTTTGACTTTAAGTCACGGAATAACTTAAGTCAAAAGGGGTTGAGTGTCTATAAGGGTGTTATTACTGTATTAAATATTAGTATTGTTAAACGAGGCTTTGAGCAAGTTTTTAGTGTGGCTATCCTTTTCTATTTGTTGAGAATTAAAAGAGCTAGATCATACAAAATAAGTTTATCTAGCTATTGATGCTTTAAGTTATTGCCTAAAAATTTGTAAGATATCTATATTTTTATATAAATTTATATTTACACATGTTTCAGTTAACTATTTCATATCTTAGATGCAAGAAAATTTAAAGTAAGGTATGTCCTGCATAATTTTTTTTAGTATTCTCTAAAGTTAGTCCGCCTAAAGTATTCGTTGAAGTATTTTCTTAGTGTTATAATCATCTATAATCATAAAACCTATAACCTCGTAGGTGTTTTTCTTATTTTTAATCTATAACCATTCTTATACTGAGATCTATTTTAAAATTCAATTAATTTTTACTAATGTGGTTCATATCATTTTCTTTTATAGTATGTCTTAATAAATAGTTTAATAGTAGTTAAAATGTTTATAAAAATCATCTTAGTAAATTATAGCATTACAAACATTTAATAAAAATTATTAAAAATATTGAAAATGGTCAGGTAAAAATATCTGATTTTAAAAAAAGTTAAAGGATTTATATAAAGAATTGTGTATAAACCCTTTATTGTGATTTTTTAGTTATTTTAGTTTCATAGTTCTCAATTATTTATTAGAGTCTCTGAAAAAATCTCAAGGTTGTTCTATGAAATTTATTTTTTTGCACAGCAATTTTTTCATGAGTATTTTTAAACATTAAGAAATGTTATTAACCTTTTTTTTTTTTTTAAACATCTTCGCTTCCAACAAGGCTGCAAGCAACCACTAATTAGTGTTGGAAGTTACTGAAAGAGAAAAGGTGAAGATTGTAGAGCAAGATAAAGATTGAAAGATGACTTAAAAGATTGCAAATTATATGAATCAGGAAAGCAAGATGAAGGAAGCGAATTCCAAAAAACTGATGTTCAAGGAAAAAAACTAGACGAAAAAAGAGTTTTTGGAGCACTTAGGATCACATCCATCTACTAAAATTCACTCTCGTGTTACTCATCATTTAATTAAGTCTCATCCTTTTTCTGTTACTGTTCCTAAGAGCTCCAAAAACTCTGATTTGTCTAGTTTTTTTCCTCGAACATCAGTTTTTTGGAATTCGCTTCCATCTTACTTTCCTGATTTATATAATTTGCAGTCTTTTATGTCCCCTGTCAATGGTTATCTTGCTCTACGCTTCTATTGAGACCCACATTGACATACTTTTGAATACTTTCTTTTTTACAATATCAGGGATTTTACCCCAAAAAATTTGAACCCAAATATCTTTATGACTTAACGTGATGGTGAAAAATGAGTTGCATATTTTAAATCAAAATGAGCTATACAAGAAACAAATTGTTTGCTCGGCACTAGAATTTTTTTTTAATTGACCTGAGTTATTATTATTGTTGTGGTTGTTATTATTAATATATCCTAGTAATTACTATTTTTATTGCTATTATTTTATGATAATTATTATTATTATTATTGTCATTATTATTATTTAATAATAATGATAATAATAATTATAAAATAATAGCAATAAAAATAATAATTACTATTATATGTTAACAAAAACCACAACAACAGTAATAATACTATGATATATTAATAAAAACAACAACAATAACAACAACAGCAATATTGTTGTTGTTATTGTTGTTGTTGTTTTTATTAATATATCATAGTATTATTATTGTTGTTATGGTTTTTGTTAATATATAATAGTAATTACTATTATTATTGCTATTATTTTATGATTATTATTATCATTATTATTGTTGTTGTTGTTTTTATTAATATATTGTATATGTAAATAGTATATATATACATGTTATTTTAGAGTGATGTCAAAGAAAATATTAATGTAAAATTTAATGATGAGGACAATGAAACAGAAGCTGAAAAACTCAATGAGGAGTGGAACAAAAAAGAAGCTGTTACAAGTTGTAAAGTAGAAACTGCTTGCATTATTGAACAAAACAATAAAAATGAAAATGTTGCAAAAATCAAGGATCAAACTTCTGATTTAGAATGGCTAAAGTTAAAAACCTTGCAGTCTAAAGTAAATTTGTTAATCTTATGTTAATAAAAAATTTTTATCTAATTTTCTCTGTCAATTTTATTGTATTTTTTATTATTCATTTTGAATATTAAAAAATTTTCATTGAATTACATTCAATGAAAATACATTATGTTAGAGTGTTTTATTGTTTTATACGATGATTTTCAAAGTGCTACCAAAATGGTTTCAAATTTTTCTCACATTTAAATATACAGTAGTAAGTATATAAATTCAAAATAGTAAGCATGACAGTTCAATACACATTATGATGTAAGTAGCAACCTAATAGTAATTCAATTCCATTTTATAGAGACAAAAATCAGGGTCTAGTTCAAAACTTACCTATCAGTTTTAAATAAATTAAAATCAAAATAATTATTACTAACACAGGATCAAATGGTACAACCTCCCATTTATCAAAACCAAGTAACTGTATAGATAAAAAAAAATTTATCCATTAAAGAACCAATATTTTACTAACAATATTATCAGGGTTCCCACCAGTCCTGGAAAGTCCTTGAATTTGAAAGTCTTTGATTTTTTCAGTTATTTTAAAAAATCCTTGAAATTCCTGGAAATTTGCCTTGAAAGTCCTGGAAATCCTTGAAAGTCCTGGAAATTTGCATATTTGTCAATTTATTTTTGTTTGTTTCAAGTATCTTCAACCTTTTTTATATTTTTATTGATTTTAATAGATTTTCATAAGTTTAGTTTTTTATTCATTTCAATAAATATTCTTACTAAAACTTGCACATACACTATAAGATATAGTCAAAGTTTTTAAATATAATTAAGTTTTTGAAATATTATTTGAATATTTAAATATTATTTGGAGTATTTCATAATAAAAGCTGAATAGACCTCTATAAATCACAAATATATAGACTATATATATAAATATATAAATATTTGTTTTTTGTTTTTTTAAGTTAGTATTTAGTTATATATTTGCTTCTTCTTCTCTTCTATAGTTTAGTATTTTTGTTATACTGCTTTGATTCTTGTTATTATCAGGGATTATCTTTTTCCGGATATTTCCGGAAATCCTGATATTTTTCTCAAATATTTAAAACGTTTTCCATACATACTATTAACTATGTAATTTTGTATAAAATATATATAAAACTTTTTCACTCAGTACTCATACAAAATTTAAAAAAGTTCAAAAAAAAAAAAAGTTAGAAATAGCTCAGCTAAAAGCAAAATTAAGAGGAAAATAAAAGAAAATATATTCCGGATTTTTTCCAGATGTTCTACCCAAACAATTTTCCCGATTTTTAAAATATGGTCTGGATGATCTATGTATTATTGTGATTGTTGTAATTTTTATATATTTTCAATATTGCTTACATAATTATTTTACTTTAAATGAAAAATATAAAATATTAGAGGTTAAAACGTTTTAGCTTATAAACTGCAGAGGTTTTTTTAAATAGAATAGGCCAAAGATTACATATATGACTGTTATACTTGGTAATATAGTTGATGACTTCTGCAGGCGAAAGATGTGTAAAAATCTTTACCATCAGCAATTTAACTGATAAAACGTTAGAAAACTTCCAAATAAAATTGATATTGGTTTTGATGCACAGCTAAAAATTGACCAAGCTTATTTAAGTTACACTGACCAAAGAGTAATTAAATTTAAACAGGAGAGTTTTAAGCTAATCAGTTAAAACACCTTGTTGAGAAGTTCCCTTTGAAGTTTGTCATAAGATGAACTGCAGTATCCATTAACCCAATTTTTATTTCAAACCCAAATAACAAAAATACTTGTATTAATAATTTTTCAATTCTATTGCAAAAATTAGTTACATAAAAAAAGTTTTATCTTTAAAGTCTGGTGAACTAGCAAAAAATCAATATTAAAAGTAGTTAGGAATAGTTGAATCAAATAAGAAATATATATATATATATATATATATATATATATATATATATATATATATATATATATATATAAATATATATATATATATATATATATATATATATATATATATATATATATATATATATATATATATATATATATATATATATATACACACACACACACACACATATATGTACAAACAAAATAATAAACAAGTGGTTGTACCTACTTTAAAAAATAGGCAATCTACTTTATCTTTTTGTGGCCAACAAGAATAGATATATAGAAAATCATAAAGTATAGAATCATATATGTAAGAAGTCTAATAATGTTTTTAGTCTTCAATATTGGTCTATTTATAATATAGATATTTATAATATGATATTTATGGCATAACAACCTGGCTGATAGCATTTATATTTTTTATAAGGACATTTTGATTATCAATTATACGTCTACATACATATACAAAATATATAGCATAAGCTTTTCTTACCTTATAAAAAAGAATGAATGTAAAAATATCACTGCAATATTAAAAAAAATAATTAATAATTTTTAACATTACCTTGCTAAAGGAACTTTTATATTTTGCAGTCAGTTATTACTATTTAATAATAATGTATTATCATATATAATATTATTTTTGCATATTAGACATTAATTTGATATTAAAAAAAAAGTTTAGATTTCCTAAACTTTATGTTTCAGGTTTTACCAGCTTCAGACCCACTGTGCATTGTGCTGCTGCAATTTCCAATCAGAACCATTAGTTATATATCTATTAAAACATTTAGTCTCGTTCTACTTGATATAGCCAATAAACAGGTTGATCAATTTCTTGACATTTGTATCACTCCAGCTTCTGTATCTAAAGTGATTTCCTGCTCAGGCTCTTCTACAGTTTGTGTTCCAGACAATATACCTGTTATAGCCTTACAGAAGTGTTCTCCGGAGCTATCCTCTATTCTTTCAAAACTATTTAACAAGTGCTTAGCAGAGTCTTGTATTTCAGTCTGCTGGAAAGCAGCATCTGTTATCCCTATTTTCAAAATTTCTGGAGAGCGATCTGACTCATCTAACTAATGTTCCATTAGTCTTCTTACTATCATAAGCAAGGTTTTTGAAGTCTTCAATTAACAAACACTTAATCTCTCATCTTGAATCTAATAACATACTTTCTGATCATCAATATGAATTTTGATTTTTTTGTTCTACTGCTAATTTGTTAGCTGTAATAACTGAAAGGTTTTATCGTGCATTAGATTGATGTGGAGAGGTTAAGGCTTTTGCTTATGACATTTCTAAAGCTTTTGATGAAGTTTGGCATGCTGGTCTTCTCCATGAGCTCTCTTCTTACAGTGTATCAGGTAACGTCTTTAAGATTATTGAATCCTTCCTTACCAATCGTAGTATAAAAGTTGTCCTTAAAGGACAGAACTCTTCTTCATATCCTGTAACTTAAGGGATTCCTCAAGGTTCTATCTATGACCCTATACTTTTATTTTAATTTAAATTAACAATCTCCCAGATATTCTCACATGTAATGTGGTGTTATTCGTTGACAATACCACCATTTATTCTTGTTTTGATAAGATGCCAACGCTCTCTAATTGCTTAGAGGGTGCACTTGAGCTTGAAAAAGGTCTCACTTCTGCTACAGCATGGGGGTCTCAGTGGCTTGTGGACATTAACTCAGATAAAACCTAATTTTTTTCAGCCAGCCGTTATCGCAATAGTCTAGATTTTCCTACATTTATGAACGGTAATGTACTCAATGAGTCATCTACCCTTTATCTTCTAGGATTAACTCTAACTTCGAATGTTTCTTGGAAACCATATATCAAGTCATTTGCAAAATAAGCATCTGCCAAGGTTACATCTCTTTATCATACTTGCCACTTTCCTACTCAGGATTCTATTCTTTATCTCTATAAATCTCAAATCCGTCTTTGTATGGAATACTGTTGCCTTATCTGGGGTGGATCTTCCACTTATCTTATTATAACTTATCACGAATCACTGGATATACTCAATGACGACAAAATTTTTTTGGGGATAAAACCATATGGTGACAGTTTGTACTTTTGATAGTTTTAAAGTGTTTTTATATGTATATTATAATTTTTATGATTAAAAACAATAATTTAGGAGTTAGTCTACTTTATTTAATTATTTTTCAAACTTTTAGCACTCAGTGAGTGTATAAAATGCGCGACTAAAAAATATAGATTTTTCTTTCACTAAAACTTTTATTTTTTTTCTCAAAGTGGTACGCAAAACTTATTACATCTTCTAACTTAAAATCTTTTATTTTGCTAACATTTGCTATCAATTTCTTGTTAGAGATGTTTTTTAGAGCAGATTTGTTTTGCTCTACATAGAAATCCTTTAAAGACGCCAGTGATTATGGTTGGGTTGATTTGAACATTGGTTTACGCATCCTTACAGTGTACTTAAAATTCATAAAATCCGTTCATTGTATTTGTAATAGAAATATCTAAAAAGTTAAAACAACTTAACTTTTTAGATATTTCTATTACAAATACAATGAACGGATTTTATAACAAAAGTAATCTTATTAAAATAACCAAAAACTATTTAGACCGCATTTCAAAAAATACTACTTCTAAACAATTAGATAAGCAGTTTGTTAAACTACTTTGTATACCTAATATTGGTCCTAAACTCCAAAGAGAACTTAGAAAACAAAACATCAGAGTTGTATTTACTTCAGCTTCCAATTTAAATAACATACTATGCAATAACAAAACAAAACTACCATGGAACTTAAATTCGGGTGTTCATGAGCTTGAATGCTCATGCGGAATTATATATATTGGTGAGACCAAAAAAGAAAATCATTTCAAGAAGTGTGAAACACCAAAGAGCCTGTAAAAATCAAAAATGGACGAGTTTAGGAACCACGGAACATTCTAGAACATGCTGTGGTACTTTCGATTGGCTGAATCCTAAGACTTTGGCAGTCATAAAACAAGAGTTCAACATGAGATAGGTATTGGGCAAACTGTTCTAAATAGAAATGACAGGGATAATGTGAAAACAAAAACTTGGGGACCAATTTTGACAAAAATTTAACTGGCGTCACTATTATATTATTTGATTGGTTTTTATATTTTATGGTTTTATGTTGTTTTGTAACATTTTTTTCATTATCTAATGACGCTGACCACAATAGGTCAAAATATCGTTTATTTTTAGGGTTATGACTTTTTAATTTTTTAAAAATAATTTCCTGTATCATAAATGGATAAACTTTTGCTCAAAAGTACTCAAAATGGGTTGTATTCTGATTGATTTTAAAAAAAGGTCAACTACAATGCAAAAATTTTAAAATGGTATAAAAGTAGTATTTGCAGGCAGTACCAAAATGAAACTAAAATTTTCTGTACTGTTCAGGATTTTTCAAAAATCTCTGAAACTTTCTAGAATTTTCTGGAGTCTTTTATGGAAATTAGCAAGATTTAGACTATATTAGCTGCCTGATCGAGAAATGCTAATAATTATATATGAATCTGTACTCACCAGAGGGTAGTCAGATAATATAGATGTACAACAACAAAATATTTGTTGTTGTTATCTTTCAGATATATATTCAAGTATTATCTTTAATCATAATGTCCTATAAAAAAAGTGCTTCCATTACTGAATTAGGCAAAACGATTTGGATGAAGAATCTTGTACCATTTGATGAGTCACATTGGAAAAGAAGAACTGTTCTACTAGATATACAATAAATAGAAGATAACAACAGGATACCACTTATAATCCAATTTGGTGGTTGCTATCTGTTCCCGGGAGAATCTGCTAAAGGGAGACAAGTACGCATAAAGCAAATTGAGAAATAATAATAAGTTTATGGCAAAAGAAATTAAATTTTACACACATGTTTTTTTCAACTCAAGCTACAGTGCAGGCAAAACTGGATCAAGGGCTGAAGGCATATGATAAATGTGTAAACCTTCTTTTATGGATATAACTCTATTATTAATTTTTTTGCTTGAATTTACATTCGAAGCAATATAACTCTTGCAATGTTTTTGTTTATGTTTAAAAGTTTTGTTTTGCGAAAAATAATATTTTACAAAAATAATATTTTATAATAGTTACATCAGTTTTATATAATCAGCAGATTGCGCGATATCAAAAAAGCAAGAACAGAAATTTCCTTATAATTAAAATAGAATTTTGAATTAAAAAAGTTATTTGAATTTAAAAAAAATTCAATTTTTTTTCTCGTTTTTTTCTCCTCTTTTTCTACTTTTTTAAAAAAAAGAAATTAAATTCCTTGTAAATATATAAATATAACACTGCATCAAAAATATTTATAAAGTGTACGTTTAACTTTTTTTTTTTTAATAAATGGTACTTGGAAGCTTAAATCTTTATTTTTCACAAAAAAAAAAAGTGCTGGTAAACTTGAGTTTTTTTCTTTGCAACAAGTGATATTTTTTGTTTGTTAATAATTTTATAAAAGTAAAAAATCATTATTTGCAAAGTTACAATTTTAAAAATTATAAAAAAAAAAAAATAAGAATTAAGATATTTTAATTCATTTATACAAATGTCATGAAAAGAAAGAAATTAATTTATATTAAGTGATAATAGAAAATGTAATATTAAATTTAATATTAAAAAAAAGAAAAATCAAAACAAAATTGACATTCCACAACATGTATATTTAAAAAATAACACTTCTAGATTTGTTTTTCTTAATTAGTAAAATAAACTTGTTTTGTGGTAACTTATTTTATTGGGGTAGTTAAAAGAGTTAATGTCCTTAAATTAAAAAAGAAATAAAGATATCAAAATCACGACGAGCTAATGTGCTTCACACATTAGCTCGTCGTCATTGTTTTTATTTAAAACAAGGCCTGAAATATACATATTTTATACCAATTAAAAGGTTTTTATGTTTACTATTATGTTTTGAACTAGTATCGATACTTTTGAACTAGTATCTTTTGAGTATTTGATCAGCACATTTTAATTGTTTAAAATAATATTTTGATTAAATCAAAAAATAATATTTTGATTAAATCAAAAACTTGCGGACAAAGTATTTGCGGACAAAGTATTTAGAGTTTTAAACAATATTTGATCAAAATTTATTAGAATAGTAAAATTAAATTAATACTTTGAGGACAATCTTTACAATCAGCAACGGCTTTGCATTTACGAGGTTCAGTTTATTTTAGCTAATCATTTTTTCTTTCGTTTAATAAAATGAATTTAAAAGAAAAAAGTTTTTTACGTAATTGCTGTGTCTGCTTTTCGGTTTCTAGTTTTAAAAAAATGAATATCGTTATGAAACTTAATTTTAAAAACTTATTGCGAAATTTTATAACTGTGGAATGTATACAAAATTTTTTGAAAGATAAAATGATTTTAAAATATCATTTTATTATTTATTTTTGGCAATTGAAATTAAACTGGTTTTGATAATAAATGAACGAAGGTAAAAAAATTTTATTGCTGAAATTTAATTTTTGAATGAATGAACTTTTGCTCTTTAGCTTGCTATTTTAATTTTTGTGAGGAAAACGAAAAAACCAAACGTAAACTTTTTCAGAAAGTTTTTTTCCTTTTCCATATTCTTTTTGACTTTTAATATAATAAAAATAAATATTACAATAACTTAATAAAAGTTTTATTAAGATCTGTTTATGATAACCCATAATTGTAATTAATTATTAAACAAATCTTTTTTAATTATACTTAATGTTTAATAAAATGTTATATATTTTTAAAATATAATATGACTTTTAAAGTATATGTTTTTTAATCAAAAAAATTCCTTAATTATTTCTTCATTAATTATCTTTAATTTTAAAGGCGCCTTAAAATCAATTTCAAAATTATTAACCGTTAGTAAAAGTTAAATGAACAGATTTGCTAATATTTAAAATGTAAAATTAAAATAGTAATAATTACATTTATAAAATGTTTTTTGCTCAAATAGTTATTTGAATACAAGGCGTAAAATTATTTTGTTAATTTTAAAAATATTATGCAATATAATATATGTAAATATATTATGTAATATAAATATTATTAAAAACTTTTTTAAAAGTATTTTAAAATTTAATTACTAATTATTTAAAGCATTAATAACTATTAAAATTAAATTTATTAAAATATAGTTAATTAATGTTTAAAATACTTTAAACAATTTTCAATAATTATTTACAAATGGAGTGGTAATTGCAACAAAAGCGTTTATTAAATTCTAAAGTAATGTAGTTTAATTTTCGTAACTAAAGTAACATCGTCCTCCGGTAAATTCATGTATTAAAAAAAATTGCCTTTAAATTAACATCTTATCTTAGGATAAAACTAAACAAAATAAACACAAATAGTTAAAAAGATATTTGAAAAAATGAGGATTAAAAAAGATTGTTGCAGCACCAATTTTAACTAGGGGAGGAGAGAAGAGAGGTGTGTGTGGGGGTGGGAAGATTAACTCAAAAACATCATGATCCTTCCCCCAGCATTGCTGAAAAAAAAGCGGTAACCCCAAATAAAATCTAGGTTCTTCACTAACCAGAGGGTGGTGGGATCGAACTCTGACCTTCTTGCTTATGAAGCAAGTGCTCACTACACCATAACCACATTTTCATCTGAGTCTGACAAAAAAACTGAAGAAACAACCGATAGATATTTAAATTCAGATAATAAAGAAAATTCAGATGATTTGCAAATTTTTGTGACAATATTAACCCTCGGAATTAAGAAAAAATAAGGTTGGCAATAATTTTCTGACCTTAATCTGTGTGAGGTCGGCATCAGGTCAGCAGAAAAAATGTAAAATAAGGGTTTGGCCATAAAACATAGAAACAAGGTCAGAAAATTATTTTGTATTTTTTTTTAAGTTGTACTTAATTGAAATATATTTATATACTGTTAGTTTTTTTTTCATTAATTTTATTGCTAAACTGCTTACTTTTCATTACTTTAAAACACTATAAAATGTGGTCAACACTGTTATAAAATGTATGAAGCACTGTTATAAAATGTATGAAGCACTGTTATAAAATGTATGTAGGACTGTTATAAAGTGTGTGAAACACTATTATAAAATGTGTGAAGCACTGTTATAAATTGTCTGAAGCACTGTTATAAAATGTATGCATTAGTGTCATAAAATGTGTGAAACACTATTATAAAATGTGTGAAACACTATTATAAAATGTGTACATCAAATCTGTTATCAATTATTAATTTACTGAGTAACAATAACCAAGATGTACTCCAAAAATAGTGTTGCATTTATGTTGATTTTCAGTTTGATGCTTAGGGAGAATCAACTGAGTCTGATGAAAAAACTGAAGAAGCAGCCGATCGAGATTTAAATTCTGATGATAAAGAAAATTCAAATGATTTGCAAGAAAATGGAATGAAAAAATCTTTTGATCAAGATATCAAGTCTATGACTGTTAAAATGAGAGGTAAATATCACGACTGTTAAAATGAGAGGAAAATGTCATATATTTAGTAAAAGGAGTAAAACTATAAATATTTAAAGTTTATAGTTTAATATATATATATATATATATATATATATATATATATATATATATATATATATATATATATATATATATATATATATATATATATATATATATATATATATATATATATATATATATATATATATATATATATATATATATATATATATATATATATATATATATATATATATATATATATATATATATATATAAATATATATATATATAAATATATATATATATATTAGGGTGTCCCAAAAAACAACTTTTTTAAAAATAATTTGCTCTCACCCCCTAAATGTGTTCGATCTAATACAAAAACACTAAGTTTAAATTTTATTTCAATAAAAAATAATTTAAAGGGTCCCTCAAGACCCTCGAATATTTAATGGGTCCCTAATATTTTCAAAAAAAAAGTTTTTAAAAATTATGTCAACCTGGTACTCAAATGAACCGAAATTATATAAAAATTTTAAAAATAATGTTCATTTCGGAAAAAACAATACGTACTTAAATAATACTTTTTTTTTTAACGAAATTGGCGATTTTTTTACAGAAAATTGTTTTTTGTTTTGGCAAATAATGTATATTTTAAGGGAAATATCGTTACGTGACTCATTTTTTTCCATCAATGGAGTTATACTTATTTTCTTTTTAAGGAATTCCATTCAAGTGCTCGGAAAAAGAAGTCATTGAATTTTTTAAACCACTTATTATTGATGATATACGATTTCCTAAAAATAAAGATGGAAAATCCAGTGGGTATGCTTTTGTTGATTTTAAAACTATTGAAGATGTTAAAAGTGCATTAAAAAAAGACAAACAAAAGATTCAGGGAAGATACATAGAATTGTTTCCAGTAAACGATCTAGAAAATTTAAAACAGAATGATTTTAATAAAAAGTGGACTCAAAAGGTACAATATAATTTCAATTACTTTTCTATTTATATTATAAAATAGATATTTTTTATTTATATTATATACATATAGTTTTTTAATCTACATTTTGTATATATATATATATTTTTTTTATTTATAAAATTTAAATTTGTATATTCTATATTATTTGGAGTTTCAAAAATAGCTATTCTTGTAACAGTCAACTACATTTTTATGGTCACAAATTTTGCTTTTTTATTAAAAAAAAATAAATAAATAAATAAAATTAATCTTTCTTTTTAATTTAACTTGAAAAAATTTAATTTAAAACTTGTTTGATTCAAAACAATTTTCTGTTTTTTATCGGTGAAATAGCTTCACAATAAAATAGCTTTTTGTATTTTATCACAATAAAATAGCTTTCTGTATTTTATCATGACATAAAAGCTTTCTGTATTTTATCATGATAAAATAGCTTTCTGTGACTTGATCTTATTTCCAGCTATTTTGATTTTCTATTGGGTGGACACGGAAAAATCCGGTCAACTTTAAATTGAGATTTCTCTAAAACCATAAATCTTTTTTATTTCAATTTTTTTATTATTAAATGTGTTTACATGAATTAGAGTTTCAACTTAATTTTAAGGGGCTTGATGGGTTGCTTGGCAAGAAATCGAACTTTATAGCAGGATGATGCCATCATTTTACAGATTTTTTCTTTTTTCACCATATTGGTTTCATTAATTCGCTTTTTTTGGAAGTCCTTTTTATTATTTGTTAGTCCACCTGTCTTACGAAGAACTCCTTTAACTATTGCCCAAAAATCTTCAATCTTGCGCTCTTCAGGACGATTTGGAGGATTCGCATCTTTAGGAACAATTTTCACATTATTAACTTTGCACCACTGTAAAACTTTTTTAGAATAGTGAGAGGCAGCAAGATCAGGCCAAAAGTGACATCGGTATTTGTGTTTTTTTATAAAAAGCAAAAGTTTTTTGGAGGCATTCTTTGATGTAGAGATTGGCAGTCAAGGTCTTTTTAGTGACAAAAACAAGAGGACTGCATACCACAGCTACAAATTGCTTGCTACACAAGGAACTTGGATGCAAATTTTTCTCGTCGAATATATTAAATTGATCATCGACAGGTTTATCTTTGTTTTCATAGTAAAACTGTTGACCAGTAAGTTGTGGATCCCGTTAGTTCATAACGTTGTAGACGACGTTTCGTCGTCTTCAATTATGCACATATTTTTATCCGCCATTATTTTAACCAACTTCTTTGTGCGTCGAATTCCTTTAATTTCACAAATCATTAATTTGTAAACAAAAATTTATCAACACCATTTAAGATAAGGAAGTAAGGTTTAATTTAAAAAAAAATTAAATAAAAAGCATTTGTGGATTTGGAGAAATCTCAATTTAAAGATGACCGGATTTTTCCGTGTCCACCCGATATTTATGCTTTTTTACTCTGTTTCGGTTTGACCACAGTAGTTATCAGAATTTATGATCAATGAGAAAGACTTTTAAGGATCTTACACATAGCTTCTCTCCATTATTCAATTGAAAAAGGTATTACCTTGCTATTACTAAGCCCTGTGATTCCATAAGGAAAACTTTAAAAGCCTAAATAATTTAACTTGATCATTTTTTCATAAAATTAATGTAAGTTTATGAAAATATAATGAACTAAATAATCAGCAACAAATATATATAAAGGTGTTAACATAATTAACATCTTTATATATATTTACAAGATCAAGTGTGTATAGCATACTTAAAGTAGAGTCAGTTTTAGCTTTAAAAATATTATCTGAAATCTAAAAAAGTCAAATGTAAAAAGCACCCTTTTCTTTCTGCAGTGGAAGTAACTTTATGACAGACATTCATTGCTTCAAAATTTATCTCTGATAAGCAGCATGAACTAATTAAATAACAAGTAAAAATAAGAAAGTTAAATGTAAAACTAAGCCAAATCAAGATGTTGTCTCAACAATTTCCATCCTTATTTGTAAATCAGCTTAATCAGCTTAAAGATGTTTAAAATAAAAACATGTGATGTTTTTATTTTAAACATCTTCGCTTCCAACAAGGCTGCAGGTCCAACTATGTTTACAATGCGTTTTTGCACCTTGTCTAAAAGAGAAAGGGTGTCATTAGAAGATCCGCCCCAGATATGGCAACAGTATTCCATACATATTTGGACAAATTTGAGATTAGTGAAAGACGAAGTTGAGAATAGAATCAGGAGTAAGAATGTGTCAAGCTTGATAATGAGATGCAACCTTAGCAGATGTTAATTTTGCAACGGATTTGATATATGGTTTCTATATATCAAATCCGTAATATAAGGGTAAAATAAATATAAGGGTAGATGACTCATCGAGTACATTACCGTTCAAAAATATAGGAAGGTTTAAATTATTGCGATAACTAAGAGCCCATTGCTGTAGCAACAGTGAGATCCTTTTCAAGCTCAAATGCCCCCTCCAAGCAATCAGACAGTGTTGGCTTCTTATCATGACAAGAATAAATGGTAGTATCATCAGCGAACAATGCCAACTTAGATGTGAAAATATCTGGAAGATCGTTAATGTAAATTAAAAAGAGTATAAATAGAACCTTGAGGAATCCCTAAAGTTACAGAATAAAAAAAAGAGTGCTGTCCATCGAGGACAACTTTTATACTACGATTGGAAATGAAAGATTCAATAATCTTAAAGATGTTGCCAGATCACCGTAAGAAATAAAGCTTATGGCGAAGACCAGCATGCCAAACTTTATCAAAAGCTTTAGAAATGTCAAGAGCGATGGCTTTAACTTCTCCACCTTTATCTAATGCACGATAAAATCTATCGGTTATTACTGTTTCCAAATCAGCCGTAGAACAAGAAGATCCATATTGGTGATCAGAAAGTAAGTTATTAGATTCAAGATGAGAGATTAAGTGTTTCTTAATTAAAGATTCAAAAACCTTGCTTATGATAGGAAGAAGACTAATGGGACGGTAGTTTTACGAATCGGATCGCTCTCCAAAATTTTTAAAAACAGGGATAACAGATGCTGCTTTCCAGCAGGCTGGAAAACAAGAATCTGATAAGCACTTGTTGAATAGTTTTGAAAGTATAGACGATAGCTCTGGAGAAAACTTCTGCAAGACTATAACAGGTATGCTGTCCGGGCCACAAGCTGTAGAAGAGTCTAAGCAGGAAATCACTTTTGATACAGAAGATGGAGTGATACGAATGTCAAGCAATGGATCAACCTGTTTGAGGGCTATATTAGGTAGAATGCAACTAGTGGAATCAAGAGATGATATTGATGAAAAGTTCTTAGCAAATAATTCAGTTTTGTCTTTAGGTGAGGTGACAAAACCTGAACCATACAAAAAAAGTGGAATTACAGATTTACCTTTATTATTGATACTATTAAAGATTCTGCAGAATCTTTTTACATAGATTTTTAAGCCTAATTTTTGTGATGAAATACGAGATTTCATGACCTGAGAATAGCGGGCTTTGGTGGCTAGACAAAACATTTTTACAATGGTTTTTAGCAGTAATAAACAGACGTCTGTTTTCTGGAGAATTGTTTTGCTCACAAATCACAGAAAAAGTCCCAGTCAGCTTTAAGGTAGTTGTGAAAGCTATGATGATAGGGGGATTCTGATAATGAAGAAGAATGAGATAATAGTTTTAGAGAGATCAAACTGTGATCAGAAGCACCTAAGGGTGAATGTGGAGAAACTGATCACTGACTAGGATTAGAAACAAGACATAGGTCGAGTAGAGAAGGTAAATGATTCGGGTTGTCTGGAAAGCGAGTTGGAAAGTTGACTATTTGAGTTAGGGATTGAGAAAGGCAAAAGTTGTGGGCCTTAATGCCAGCAGAGTCACTGACACTAGAGCCAAGCCATTCAGTGTGATGAACATTAAAGTCATTGACAACAACAATATTGGCTGATGGATAAAGAATGAGGGCTTGGTCAATATAATTAGAAATAACATCAAGAAAAGTGCAGTCTTGAGATCAAGGAGAGCGATATAGAACAAAGAAAAAGGCAATAGAGTAAAGTGGTGCTAAATGAAAGCACATAAAAGAGTAGTCTGTGGATTCAAATCTAGTTTCCCATCAAATGGGTGACTTCTTACAAATGTCAATGCCAGGCCAAGTATGTGACTATTGGAGTCTTTACAAATTTAAGGAAGATAGCCATCAACACTAAGATCACAAGATGAACTCAATTTAGTCTTGTAAAGAGTAAGTAGGACTTAACAAAAGAAAAGTTACTTCCACCAATATTAATGAATGATATTAGTGTTGATGACAATGATTTTTTGTGTTTTATAGTTTTTGGTACTTTATTCATTTTTAAATTTGTTAAAGAAATTGACTTGAAGCATAGTTAGTACTCAGTACGTTGTTTAATAGCCCGAGCAATTGCCTCATTACTATTAATAAACCCTAAGCTGTAACAAAGGGCTTCAAGTGTGGCAATGCACACCAAAAGCAGTATGGCACTGTTAATACTTTGATATTTTTCAGCTGTTGATGGAATCAGCCTCTCTGTGAGCTACCACAGAGTTCAGGAAACTGACTACCAGCCAGCCTCAGAACCATAAAACTGAGTTTTAGATCTGTACTCTCATTTGGAGAAAATAGAATGAGTTGCCTAGTCATAAAAAGAGACACAAGCAAAACCCATGCATCGAGTCATAAAGATCCAGCATTCAACATCCTAAACTGAAAACAATCTATTAAAAATACAACTGCACCAGTCTAATAGATGAAGAAGGGGTGAAAAGCTGGTCAACAGATAGAATCTGTGTATCCTTTAACCCTTTTGATGGTGTTATTGGTAGTCAATTTTTTTATGTTTTTTTTTATGAAGTAGATGTATTTATTAGATGCTTCCCTATGTAATTTTTTATGGCCTTGTTTTAAATACTTCTCCATATAAAGTTTTAAATACTTTAACAGAATTCATTTTTAATTTAAAACATTCCTTTTACATGTGTGTTGACATTAAAAACCCCATAAAAAAAAAACCCGCCTAATAAAAGCCAAAAATACCAGCCTAAAAAAACCCCAATAAAACCCGGGTAATCTGGGTTTTATTGGGTTTTTTTAATGATATTTAATAAGTTTATGAACTATTATAACCAACTTTAACATTACAAACAAATATAACTATAATATTATTAACTAAAATAATTATTAACTATTATTATTAAATAAATTATTATTAACTATTATGACCAACAAGAACAGCTATTAGAGTAGGTTTACTAATATTTGAAATGGAAATACATTATTTCAATTGTTATTTAAATATTTTTATTGATTAAAATTTAATTGCTCTGCTTAATTTCTCCTTATTTTTTATTTTTTATTTATCTAGAAAATTTTTTTAAAGTGATTGGATTATACTTGTTAATAAAGAAGATAATATATAGATTTTTGATAGTTTTCAAACCTATTTTTGTTATTATATATATATTAATATTTATATATATATAAAGTAATAATAATTTCTCTGTTTATATTCAAAATTTATTGAAAAAAATAAGATTATGTTTTCAATGTAATCGTTTTCTCCTTGGTTATCCTTACTTTTTCTTTCAAAAAAATGTCGTTCGCGACCAAATCTCCTTAAATAATAGGAAAATATCTCCTTAAAATCTCCTTAAATAATCTCCTTAAAATCTCCCTAAATAATAGGAAAATATCTCCTTAAAATCCTTAATGTGAATTTAAATGAGTAGTAGTGAGTAGTCATTTAAATTCACCTCCTTAGGTGAATTTAAATGATAGTAGTGGCCTGAAAAGGCCACTACAGTCGAGGAGGCTACCTTATTGTGGTTACAATACTCTCAACTCTTTAACTCCTAAACACGAACTTATAAACAAGGCCGCTGCGAAATGAAACAAGTTTGTTCCTTTGAATTTTAAGTTAAAAGTTTTATTGAAATCTCAGTTGCTACCTCCCATTCTCTAGCCTTCTTTTTCCCATTTCTCGTTGACATTGGTAGTTAAGTGGAATAATATTTTAAATTTAAAATCAATACATATAGATTTAATGCGAAATTTTTTTTCTATTACAAATTTAAATTATATTTAAAAATCTTTTTAAAAATAATTTGAAAAATTCTTGTTATAAATAATTAAATAACAATATATAAAATATATTTTAAATACATTTAAAGTAGAAAATGAAACTAATTTTCAATATCATTAAACAAAAAAATATTTGCAGAGACAAAATAAAATTAAAACCTAAATTTACCCGATAAAACCCAAAATTAACCAAAAAATCCCACTGGAACGGTTTTTTTTTTTAAAAAAAAAAACTGGGTTTTTGCCAACCTTGGTTTGTAACGCTCAAAAGTTTCAAATTTTAAAATTTTTATGATAAACGTATTGATGCAAAGTATGGAAAAAAATATTTTGGTGCTTTGTTCTGTTTAAATTCCTGATTAAAATTATTTTATTATTTTTTTGTTTTTATATTTTATAAAATCTGTAGGTTTATGTTACGATCTCTTTAACATTGAGATTTGTGTAACTACAAATGTTTGGATATCTCTAAATACAATAAAATAATATAAAATACTATATAAATCAAAACAGTACTAAAAAACAAATGGTTCAATAGGCATGGATCAATTTCAATCTTCAGTTAATTGATCAATGGAGTTTGTAATTCTAGTTTAAACTTTAGCCATATTTTAAAAGGTTACTGCTATAACTAGTAATTTTCTGCTTTGTCTTATGCATCCTTCAAAAATATATAGATAAACTGCAATACCAGGTATTTACATTTAAGCACAAAAAAAAAATTGTGAGAAGTATTGAGCACTAAACAACTAGTATGAAAGGTAATTGGGATTCATCCAGAGCTACCAAGCTCTGTCAAGAATGTTATGAAATATTTAAATGGATTCATCCAAAAACCCTTGTAATTTCATCAGATATTTAAGTTTGAAATGTAAAAGAATTTCTTGAAATTAATTATACATAAATGTACTTGAAATTAAAACATGTTCCATACTTCTCAACCAGGGTGGCAAAGCAAAACTACTTTGAGGCCATGTTTTAAGATTATCCAAGAAAGTAGTAATAGTATTTTAATAATATAACATAATTTTTTTTTTTTTGAATTTACAATGCCTTGTTTTATTCTTTTTAATATCTTCACTGACATTTTTATGTAAAAGAGAGTTAACAGTTTTTTGTAATTTCAATTTTAAGTCTAGTAATAATCTATACAAAACACATTGAAATATCTTTATAGAAAAATAGATTTTGTCACTATATTTTATGTATTACCCATATTTCTTTAAAAAAAAGAAAGAAAAGAGTTTTGACTTTTCTTTTAATTATTTTATTTTTTTATTTTAGGGAGATGAGGCAGATGAAGATATATCAGACACAGGAAGGTTATTTGTTCGTAACTTATCATATACTTGCACAGAAGATAGTTTAACAAACTTGTTCTCTCAGTTTGGACCATTAGTAGAAATAAATCTTCCAATTGATAAAAACTCAAACAAAACAACAGGCTTTGCTTTTGTGACTTTTATGATGGCAGACCATGCAATTAAAGCAATGTCTAAATTAGATGGATCAATCTTTGAAGGTCGCATATTGCATATACTTCCTGGAAAATCTAAAAAAGTCAAAGAAGAAGATAACAGTTAGTTAATTTAGAGTTTAAGTTTTCAAAACGTTTTCAAAATGTCTTCTTAAACTTTTATAAGGTTTGAAATGTTTTTGAATAAAAATATTTTAAAATAAAATAAAAATAATATAATGTACCTAAATCTAATTTAAGAAAAATTAAAAAGTTTGACCACAAATAAAAAGTAAATTTGAGTTATGTAGGTTATAAAGAAAGGTGAACAAGAAAGTAGATATACAGTGGGCAAAAAAAAAAAAAAAAAAGTTAAGCAATGTGTACTTTTTTCATTTTAACTTATCTGTTTATTCACATTTTCTAAAAACTCTAAAAAAATTAAATGAACAGCAAAAAGTATATATAGATATTATATGTATATTTGCATGATTTTACTACATAGTTATTGCTTTAAAAAACAACAAAAGTGTATACATAATATATTTGCAGCATAAAAATTAGCATTCTAATTTTTTGAAAATAAATTAAAATCACAGTTGATTTTTTGGTTTCATATAAACTTATATTGATAATTTTAAAATACTATGTTATTTAGAATGTTATGCTATTTTCAATTAATTTAAACTTTTTTTCTTAAAAAAAATTAAAGCTATGGTTTTCTTAACATTTTATAAAAATTTAATAAAAGTTGTTTTCTTAAGTTACAAATTAAACCGTATAAGTTTTAAACGGGGCAAAGGGTAAAATTGAGGGGCCCTATCCCCATTTAATCATTTTAGATGCGAGTTACAATAATTTTTAAAAATAAATGTCAAAATATTTATATTTATCAAAATATTGTACATAATTCAACAAAATATGAACAATTCTTCTTCCTGCTCCGAAGCAACTTTATATATAATATATATATATATATATATATATATATATATATATTATATATATATATATATATATATATATATATATAATATATATATAATATATATATATATATATATATATATATATATATATATATATATATATATATATATATATATATATATATATATATATATAATATATATATATATATATATATATATATATATATATATATATATATATATATATATATATATATATATATATATATATATATATATATATAATATATATATATATATATATATATATATATATATATATATATAATATATATATATATATATATTATATATATATATATATATATATATATATATATATATATATATATATATATATATATATATATATATATATATATATATATATATATATATATATATATGTATATATATATATATATATATATGTATATATATATATATATATATATATATATATATATATATATATATATATATATATATATATATATATATATATATATATATATATGTATATACATATATATATATACATATATATATATATATATATATATATGTATATATATATATATATATATATATACTATATATATACTATATATATACTATATAAATATACATATAACTATATGGTGTTCCACATATGGCTGTACATGACACAGTCGGATGTGGGCTTTCCATGTTGTATTTATTTGTTTATTTAAATTTATTGCAGCTTCTTGTGCGGAAAAAAAGACTTCTTTAAATTTTTTATTGCTTCTTTGAAGCCAGTTTGTAAATTGCTGGAAAAGCAACAATTTTTTACATTTCTAAAATCTCTCAAACACTGAACAATTGGAATCAAACAAGTAAATGTTTCCATTCGAACAAAATATTAGAATCCAGATTTTCTATTATTTTATTATAATTATTTCCGTCCCAGCCTCTGCCCTGGTACCCTCACTGAATAATATTTTTAGACTTTAGCCAATCATCAAATTCTGGCCAGACATCTAACAAAAAATTTCCAAGTAGTGAAACAAAACCAATTAACAAAAGAAGTGGATGAGTTGCTCAATGAAAGTATCCTGATCCAAATTATTATACAAATTATTGAGGATTGATGCAGTTCATTAACTCTTGCTTGGATGATTTTAATGAGTTATTTTCTAAATATTTATTGTACCAATAATCAATACTGCCAAGAGTTCATTTTGTCCCTAAATTTAATGTAGATATTCCTTCACACCACAAACAAGCTTTTTTCCCAGAATGTTCTGATTAACCAAACAACACATTTCCACAATTCAAGTCAAAAGCATCATAAAAACTGACATCTTGCGAATTTAATTTTTCTATAACAAGTCTCAAACAATAGTTAGATTCAGGAATATCTTCAACATTAGCTAAAAATTGAGACCGTTAAACGTCACTATTTAAGTACTCCTCTGGCTCATTATCTTTTAATGAAAGACATTAATGATTATTTTAAAAAATGAACCTCTACCATTCAATGAAATCCTTAAAAAGGCTGAAGTAGGGTCTAAACCACGTAATTTTAACAAGTCAAGTACAAAATCTGATGTATTTTGAACATATACAAGATCTTGTAAAAAAAAAAGGCCTTTACTATCAACAAACTCACACTTCTGTACACTGTAGTAATTAGAAATATATTCTTCTAATTCAAAAAGACGACTAAAAATATTAGGCTCAATGGAAAGCTTATTTCCTAAACCTTTGCGTAAAGTAGAAAGCATCTTTTTTATTTTTCTATTTGAAAGTTCTAACACAATTTGTAATTGCTTTATTATTTTGATGGAAAGCTGCTTAATAGAAGTTCTTTTTGATTTGTTTTCTGGTGTGCCCACTGTGACTTTAAGTGGATTTTCTCCTGAAGATAAGCAAAACATTGATCCGTCAATCAAGCTTTCTGTAGCCATTTTAGATTTTATAATACCAGAAGCAACCTATGTAAAATTTTCACAAAATGAAATTTGCATAAAAAACTAAAAACTTATAAACAAAATATAGTTTTTTTACCTGTTCAGCTTGAAGAGAACCTAGAAGAAATGACAGTGTAATGGTATTAGCCACAGCACTGATGTACAGTTATGAGAATAACCAGGTGCAGGTAATGTATAGCAAAAGGAACATATACTTGACTCAGTTGTCGGTAAATTAGATCTCATCTGGAAGAGTTAGACAGGTACTGGAGTTATTTCTCAAGAGTTTTTCACCCTACCTAAATATACATTTATAAATAAACAAAAAAAGAAAAAAAAAATGGAACTAAAAAATCATTAAATATACCTTGGATATCCTTTGAAATGCTTGACCAAAATCTTGTTTTTCTGCCTGCTGAAAAATTGCACCTGTGGCTCCAATTTTTAAAAACTCTGGAGAACACTCTGATCCCTCTAACTATTTTCTGGTCAGTATTCTCTCTATTATTGATTAAAGACTCAAGGTCTTTGAGTCATTTATCATCAAATTTCTAACATCTCATTTTGAGTATAATAACTTACTCTCAAACTAACAATATGGATTTCGATCTTGCTATTTTACAGCTGAATTGCTAAATGTTGTAACAGAAAAGTTCTATCATGCATAAGATAAATGTGGCGAGGCAAGAGCTATTGCTCTTGACATGTCAGAAGCTTTGATAAAGTTTGGCATGCTGTTCTTCTCTATAAGGTTGCTTCATATGGTGTATCTGTAAAAGTTTTTGAGATCATCCTCATCTTAAGAGTTATTGAGATCATGATGATCTCAGTAACTCTACTTCATTACCAGTAACTTCTAGGATCATTAATGATCTTACTGACAATCTTACATCTATATGCTGATGACTCAACTTTATACTCCTGTTTTGACAAAAATTCTTCACATTTTCATTGCTTAAACAGGCAGCTTGCAGTGATATTTAACTTGTAACTCTAACAAAATTCAGTTATTTACTGCAAACATCTAATGCAATAATGTTCAAATTCTTATATTGATAAATACCTTTTTACTGAATCCTCTTTATGACTTCTTAGATTATCATTCACTACTGACCTCATGGAAATCATATATACAATTGATTGCAAAGTTAGCATATAGGTTGTTTCTCTAAGATTTGAAGAGGTAGTGAATTCCATTCACTACTTCTTCAAATCTTTATTGCATTTTAAATGTAGTTGAGCTTTTTTTTCTTTCTATAAATATTATTATAGTCATTGCTATCATCTCTATCATCCAAAACTCATTCTCTTTTGACTAGTCATTCAAACTAGCTATCATGTCTAGTTCTATCATCCAAAACTCATTCGCTTTTGACTAGTCATTCAAGCTAGCTATCATCTCTAGTTCTATCATCCAAAACTCATTCTCTTTTGACTAGTCATTCAGCAAAGTCACATCCTTTTATCTAGTTTTTTCCTCGCAGATCAATGCCTTGGAACTCTAATTTTATGTTTTTCTGACTCATCGACCTACAAGTCTTTAGTCAACTTTTTCTTTTAACAATAATATTTGTTTTCTAGTAACTCTCTACTTCATAGTGGATGCTTGCAGCCTAGTTAGGAATTAATTTTTGCTTTTAGAAAACTCCTTGTTTTTATAGCATTTTAAAATTAAAACACAAGTTACCTCTAAACTTAATAAACTTTAAACTTAGTTTCTGTTGACTCTTTTTATCTCTGGTTTTTCAAATGAAACTTTTCATAAAAACTCAAGTTAATATTTTTATAGGAATTTTTCAATTTTAAAACTACTTTTTTAACTTTTGAGAAACTTTTTTGTCCAAAAATATTTTAATAGTGAAAATAATAAAACTAGCTGTTTGATTATATGTTAATAAAACTTAGTTTAAGTTGTGACAAGTTTAACTATTAAAATCACTACTAAAGTACTGTGTATGTAGTATAGCTCAGCGTCATTAAAAAGAAAGTTTCAGCAAATAAGTTTTTAATTTTAAAAAGCTATGCAATTTTTGCAATACATTAATTGTTATGAATTTTATGAACAATACTCTCTAGTCTTCGATACAAGGTTGGGAGTGTGGAAATAAAAAAGGGGGTGAGGACTTTCTTTAAGATCTAATAAACTGAATGAAGGAAGGGGGGCGAGGTTAATCAAAGGGGAGGGGGAAGGGGTTGTATTTAATATTTATAAATCAAA